TCCTTTACCTGCAAAAAGTTGCTATGCCTTTTAATCGGTGGTTTTAGCTTGACTGTAATTGCATTTGGCATGTTTCACTTTGACTTGTATAGATAATGTTCATGCTTTCGTAAGCGGCTTAGAGGTTTTCGTTAAGGTTAGGCGGTGCAAAAACTTGAAGGGAAGAATGTGAGTAACACCATTGCAAATAAAGGGAAGGCAAACTGCTCTTGCCAAGAAGTCAGTAGGTCTTTCAAGCCCAAGCGGTTGATGTTAGATGCTCAGAGTATTCAGCCCCGGACAGACGTCGCAACCAAATCCTGAATCTACACAGTCTCAAGGCAACTATCGCTTGTAACTGCAACGGGGTTGCATTCAGAGGAAAAGAGAAACTTTCCGTTTCCTAGGCTTGCTTCAGACGTTGCTGGTGCTTCCATTATTTCCCACTTCAACTATTTCTCTTTCTGTCTTTCTATCCCCACAACTTTCACGTGGCCATATTCCTCCGCCTTTCAGGGACTTGCGGCATTCCAAATAGCCTGCCGCTCCACCCTACACCCGGGGCAGAGAGTTGCCTCCGATCCTCAAAGGAACTGAAAACGTTTCTGAAACCTTCCAGCTCATACAATTGCATGTTCCCAGTCCCTGGCAGTTTGTTAATCAAGAATGCTTCCCTGTTGGTAGATTCTTTGTTATTTTTTGCCTAAGAAAATTAAACCCAAGGGACCCCTCCTAAGTGTACCTATAAACCCTAATCATAGGTATGCTGACGCAGAATCGGAAAGGAAACTTTTTTTCGAGTAAGAACTACATTTTTTGTGGTGAGCTATGGGAAATTCAATATATTTTTCAAAATGTTTTTTTTTTAAGTATTCGCAGAGTGTTTTTTATGTGTAGATGCCACCCAGGGCAGGCGATAACGCTGCAGTCTTTCCTCATCCACACCAGATGACACACCACCTAGTACCTTTTCCTTTCACTTAAGATTTAGCAGTCTCTCCTGCATAATGATGCCCTCTGCTCTCCACCACTCAACTCTTTCCCTCATTCAGAGAGATGGATGTGGGGAAATAAATCCCGCACCCTCCACTCCCAGAGAGGCGTGCCTGCATCACTTGGATGGTTTCGTATGTGTCAGGTGAAGACATTTAGATCTACTTGCAGCTAGTTGTCCTTATTGCAGGTTTTATCCTCCAACCTTAGCTTTTTGATCTCAAATGGGTGTTGTTTTAATCTTGCCTTTTATCTATTGTATTACATTTATCTCTCTCTCCGGAGCTGTTCTAGCATCTAGATTCCGATATTTTGCCTATGTAATGCAGAGAGCAGCTTGGAATCAGGGGCAGATCCCCTGCGAAACCAATGAATCTTAAGATTCTGGGCACCTAATCTCAAAGTGATTTAGTTCACAAGCATAAGCATTTTTATTCACACCAGTGTCTTTGACACGTGAGACAACCCAGAACAGAAATTCTAATCAAAATCTGATTTTTTAAATGTGGTGATCTGTTGAAGAAGACAACAGTGGTTACCCAGAACTGATTGCGAGTTGTGAAGGGGACCCCAGAACAGCTCAAGCTACAGGGCTCCTAAAATGTAGGTCTGTCACTGCTTGGGACTGATGTTGGGAGAACTGATGCGCATTGCCATTCAAATGGTGTGTATGTGCCGTTCCATGTGACAAATTATGTGGGATGGGGCTTTCCTGGGACCCCCCCCTATTTTATTCAAGCTGGCACATCTGATAATGGGTGTCGCCCCGCCCCTTGCCTGGCATCACTTTAATGTCTTTGTATGTGTCAGGTGAAGACATTTAGATCTACTTGCAGCTAGTTGTTCTTATTGCAGGTTTTATCCTCCAGTCTTAGTTTTTTTATCTCAATTGGGAGTTGTTTTAATCTTGCCTTTTATCTATTGTATTCCATTTATCTCTCTCTCCAGAGCTGTTCTAGCATCTAGATTCTGGCATTTTGCCTATGTTAAACAGAGCGCAGCTTGGAATCAGGGGCAGATCTCCTTGGAAACCAATGAATCTTAAGATTCTGGGCGCTAAATCCCAGAGGGGCTCCAGGCCTGAATTTAGTCCACATTCTTAAACATTTTATATTCACACCAGAGACTTTGACACTTGACAATCCAGGAACAAAATCTTTTTTTAAATGTGGTGATCTGTCAGGGAACAACCCCGTTGAAGACGACAACAGTGGTTACCCAGAACTCATTGCTAGTTGTGAAGGGGCCCCCAGAACAGCTCAAGTTCAGGACCCCCAAAATGTAGGTCTTCACTGCTTGGGACTGATGTTGAGAGAACTGTAATAGTCATGTGTGTTGGGTTTCAAAACAGCAAACGAGGGGAGGGGAGTAGAGATTCAGAACTATTTGTGGCACTGGGGAAGAGGTGTAAATACCATGCTATTTTACCCATCACCCACTCAGAACTATATTTGCCCAATAAGGGGGTTGCAAGTCACAGGCACCATGCAGCAAGAGATTTGCTTCCCTCACTTTAACTAGAACCTAGGATCCAGCAATAAAGAGCTTAGTACAAAAGCCATACACTTAGAATAGAAGAATTATGAGCCCAGGAACTTGTTTGGAGAATCAGAATTAATGGGAGCTCACAGGCTTTCCACACGTAAATCCGTTCCCGGTTAACTCAAGTATTCTTCATCTCAGCAGTATAATGTAGAGGGGGGGAGGGGATTATTTTGCGGTTACTGTATTTATAAACACGGGGAGGTGAGGTCAGCAATCCTTTGTGATCTACTGGCAAAAACACGCAGCGTTCTTCCCACCACTGCGATGCAAAGGAAACAGCAATTTAGAAAGCAATTGAGGACCGGAGGGGTGGGAGTGGGAATAGGATTAGTTGCGCCCCCCATCCCACCCTATGCATACAAGCATGTGATGCGTTATCACAGATCTCCAGTTCAGATAATTCAGAAAAGGGCAAGCAGAGTGATCAAGTGGATGGATCAATGAGGAAAGCTTGGAGCATTGGGGACTTTTTGGTTTAGAGAAAAGTTGGATAAGACGTGGCATGACAGAAATTTATAAAATTTGCATTGCATGGAGAAAGGGATAGAGAAAAATCTCTCCCACTAATCTACACTTTTAAAAGCTACAATCCTAAAATCATTGAACTTTCCCCCCTTGCAGTTTGCCTTTGCTTTTTTCTTACATTTTAATGGATGCTTCTTGTTTTGATATATTGATGTAAACCACTTTGTGAGGTTCATTTCAAAAGCAGTACATAAGTAAATGAAATGGGAGGGATTGAGAGGGACGTATTTCTGACTAAATGGATCTGTCTTGATTTATAATAATTAAAAATCATGATCAACCAAAAATAAAAGAGAGAAAAACTTCCAAGCAGAGGCGGATTTAGGGCAACACAGCCCCCCCCCGCTGAGCCTGGAGGGGCCAGAGGGGAGCAGAAGGATGAAGGAATGAAAGGAGCAGAAGGGAAGGCGAGAGGGGCAGCCTTCCTCCGAGGCCAGACATGCTAATACGCTTATCTCGCCTCACGGGTGGGTCCCCCTGCGGGGTGGGGGGTCATTATGTGAAGGAGTGAGGGATGGCGGCCGTTGGGACGAGAAGGAGGAGCGGGAAGGACACCCCCCCCGTTGCCCAGCAAGACGTTGGTTATAGCGCTGATGCTGCGAGGAAAGTAATAAGGGAAGACAATGGCGAGAGGGAAGCCCTTCGGAGTTATCTGGTAGCCGCTCCCCAGGCGCCACCACAGGGCGCGGCTATCTTCCTCCGGCATATACAGTGGTAGCTCTAGTTCACAGGCAACCCTCTTATAAAGCTTCATTGAATGCAGTAGAGGCAAAACCTGGGGGGGGGATTAAGAGGCAAGAAAATGAAATAAAGTGTTCAAAATATCCCCCACAAAGTTTTAATAGATGTATGTGCCTTAGCCTGCAACATGGGCATTTATAAGTTAAACTTATACGTCTTTAAAGCTTTGGAGAGCAACTTTACACACTCATGGTAGGAAAATCAATTCAACTTATATCCCCGTCTCAAAGTTCTGTGTTTTAAAAAATGGAAGACTCATGAATGGAAACCAAACTTATTAACACAGAAAAGTGTTACTAAATTTACTTATAGCAGGAATCTACAAATATACAAAGAAAATATAGGCAACTTCCCACCACATTTATTTTCCCCTACTCTAGCCTCAAATACAGAGACTCAAAAAGAAAAGGAAGGGGCAGAAAGGCATTGGGTGCATTAAATGTGTCCCAGGAATATTCAGCCATTAGAATACCTGACCTTTTTATCTCTAGAACCACATGTACCGCACAACTGACTTTTTTCTATGGGAAAATTAAGCCCATGTTTATATGCTTGCACACAGGAAAGTGAATGTTTCAGTAAATGGAAAGTTAAATCAAGACTCCAGACAAGCTAGTAAAGGAACAAACTTTATTCAAAACATCGAAGTCATACATTAAAAGGCATTAAAAGAGGGAGCTTGGAAAATATGTACAGGATAGAAAGGAAGGAGTTGGGAAGCTAATCTGGAACCTGACTTAAAGCGAAAAACTGAGAGTCCGAAGCACTTCCATCAACATTCTGCATTTGTACAGGATTTGTAGCTGAATTATTCCCGTTGCAGACCAAGGAGTATAAGTGCTTGATGCCATGAAGAAGTTACTAGATGATGGTGGAGGCTGCCTCACAATCTCCGCACCGTAATATGGAACTGGGCAGTTGCTCGCCTGGAAGTCTCATAAAGCCCAGTTCCACAAAAAGCAGCTTGCTGGTAATAAGCAGGGTTCAATTCCAGGGAGCTCTGCTCTTGCGGGGCATACTCTCCTGCTCCTCTATTGCTTTCAGCATAATGCAAGTTGTGTGGCTGATAAAATTGTTCCATATGAATATTTTGGCTGTTTCCTGGACTGCTTCCTGGGCTGCTGTCCAGGGTGCTTCTTGGACGGGTTCTTTCACTCCGGCTATAAGGAGCTGCAGCATGGTTCCCGATCCTTATCCTGGAACCAATGCTCTTTGATGTTCTGGCCCTTCTGTTTTGAAACCAGATCTGAACAGAAGAAAGAAGAGAACCAATATAGAAGACATTGTTACCATGAATATGTCTTTTTGATCCAACAGAGAGAATTGCATTTAATAAATTATGCTTATTCCTCTGGGGTTTCTCTTTAGTTCTCTGCAGCATTTTTCTACTCTCTTCAGCTCCGCATTCAAATATCCCATGTTCATAATATCCAGTTACTGTTAATCATAAAGCTTCTAAGTTGGAATGACTAAATACTGCTACAGTATTTGGTTGTATTTTGTTCTGCAGTATCAGAAAAAGCCACCTTTAAAAGCTGCACAAGTGTACAGTTCCACTAGACTTTCTTTATTGAAGTATAACCTGTGGATGTGAGCTTCATCTGTAAGAAATTGTCAAGCGTTTGTTAATGCCAAGTGGATGGCTGCATACAAGACTTAACATCTCTGTGTGCATTTGTGCTGGAAGGCGATTGTTTTAAAAATTCCATAAATATAGTAATAGTAATTTTAAATACCTCACTCAGAAGACCTACCCATTTGTTCTGCCCTGTTTGGGGTCAGAATCTCAGAAAACTCAGAATCTGCATTAAATGAATGTGTGCTGTGCATAAATTTACTGGGAAGGAAAAGGAAGCCTTAATCAGGAACCATGATTTCTGAACAAGTGTGGGCACAATTTCTTCCTAAATTTGAAAAGGAGGTAGCACAACCCACCCACCCTTTACAAAAAGCCTTTACATCCACGATACAACCCCCCCCCAAAAAAAAGCTGAGAGGCACCCGGGAGAACTAAGGCCTTCGACTACGCAAGGATTATTCTGAGCTTTTCAAATTCTTCCAGTATGTGCGGTTTAGGGAAGTCTTGGGAGCCCCCACCATCCCGATTCTTACGTGCACACGATCTTCTTCGACTCCGATGCACCTCGCCAGCGCCTCCCTAGTCTGGTATCCGGGGTACTGGTTCTCTTCAAACTCCTTCTTTAAAAGCTCGATTTGGGCAGGGGTGAAAACGGTCCTTTTTCTCCTATCTCCTCCGACTTTGGGGTACCTTCCTCCTGGGAAAAGACAAAGAGGCAAATCTGAAGGAAGCGCTGGGCAAGCTTAAACTGAAGCGACGCTTGCAGATCTTCCTCCCGACATGGAAAGCTCAGGGCTTAATAATCATTTTTTTAAAAGTTTCTCCTACCTTCCTTGTTGGTTGCCATCATGAAAAAACTCCCTCAGGTTCGTTCTCTCTGCAGGGGATTCGGTCTGGGCATTTATCTCGTTGGGCGACCCCACCCTTACTTCTCAACCAATACGAGGGAGTCATCCCACCCTTACTTCTCTACCAATACGAGGTTTCCCGGTTGCGGAATGCCCTCCCAGTCAGCTGCCCCGTCTTCATCATTTTTGCGTTTCACCCTTACTTCTCAACCAATAGAAACAGTTACATTCTCTTTCAAAAAATCAGTTGCTTTGCCAAACTGGCTCAAACCCCTCCCTCCGTCGACACCCCTTTGGCAATTGACTCTTCATCTGAATGGAATAGGAGAGAGAGAGAGAGAGAGAGAGAGAGAGAGAGAGAGAGAGAGAGAGAGAGAGAGAGAGAGATCTTTCGGGCGCCTGCTACACCTTTTCTTTGCCAAGCCACACCCGAATTGTACAAAAATGACACTTGCGAGGTCCAACCAAAGAACCCCCCCACACACACTTTAGCAGACACTTCGTATCTTAAACGGGTACTCTCCTTTTTAAAAAGGTTTTGTTGTTGTTCTAAAAAGAAGCAAGTGTAAATTATTTCATATCGACAAAGAAGCTGGGAACAACTTAATCCCAATACCCCTCATTTCAGCCTCTGCCGTCTAAATAAATTAGTACATCCCTTGGATGGAGGCTCTGGCAACTGCCAGCGAATGCGAATAATACTGTATACATAAGAGCGGCGGCAACCGAAGAAAGAAATCTAAGCTATGTAAGCAAGCTATATTTTATTAACATATGATTAAAATTGCATTCATTTTTCGCTAGTTTTGAAGACTTAGCTTACGTTCTTTTAAAAACGGTGCATTGGATATTCAAGGTCACCCGCCATCTTAGAAGAGGAGATCCTTGCACCAAGAATGCCTTTTCCAACCTGGTACCTGCAAGTTAGGATTCGTATGGTAATCTTTTATAAACCCAAATAAATAAATAAGACGACAGTGCCGTTGTAGTTGGTTTAATTTGCTTTAATTCAGTCTGGACGGCCAGCCCATTTAAAGAGGTTCCCCGGTTGCGGAATGCTCTCTCTAGTGAGCTGCCCCGTCTAATTAGGACGTTTAATTAGGAATTTGAAAATATTCCTGTTTGTTCAGGCATTTGGTGGCTGCAGAATAATGTTCCTGACAACCCCGAGATCAGCGGACAGAAGAATGGTTGAAAAAACAAACCAACAAACCTCCTATAATTACTTTTAGGATTCTTCCTAACTGAAATTGCTTTTAGGTGTTTGCAATTGTTATTTTTTTAATGTTCGAAATGTTTTAGAATGTTTTTGCTTTGTTTTTGTTTTTAGAGTGTGTACTGTTTCTGTTTGCCGATCTGGGCTCCGAAGGGCGGCGTATAAAATCAGGAAATAAAAACCATAAGAACATAGAATTGGCTTTATTTGTAGGAGGACGAGGAAAGGAAAACAAGCAAGCATAGTTGAGGTATCAAATACATAGCTGCGTTTCAACCTATTACTAGCTCGTTTATACATTATGTCCCTTTCTCCTCCAAGATTCAAAGATCACAATGTTTCACCGCATAAATTATAATTTGACAGATTTCAAAGCAGAATGTACCACAAAGTAACTCCCTAATATGAAAGGTAGCAATGCCAATTTGATATTAGCGCTTTGCTGGTGGTTGTTTTAATGAACATTTAAACTTCATGGCTACTGAAACACACGGACCAGGAGGTCAAGATTCTGTTCGGAAATACGTGTTGAATGAACACTGGGAGGACGCCTTAGGGGACAGTTTCAGTAGGCTGACCTTTCCTGTAACTCGAGGGGTGTTTTCTATTGGGGATTTTGAGCAGGACACCGAGAGCAACCTAACCCCCAACCTCTGAGCTGCGACAGACTTGCATTGCAGGGCTCTTGTGTCAGCCCCTCAAACCCACGGAGAAGGGATTGCATTCCGTTTCAGATACGAAGTGTGTGCAGCCTTGTAAAGGGGGGGGGGTGGGCGTGTTCTTTGGTTGGACCGCAAGTGTGATTTTTGTACGATGCAGGTGTGGGACACCCCACTTTATTCAGTTGTGGCGTAGTTACTTGCACTGACTTGGCAGTTTAAGATTGGAACCACTGCTTAAAACCAAGGGCTAAGGACGAAATCACAGACTAAAGTAGGTCAAAGTCAATTGGTTATTACTGGCGGCCGAAGAGTCAACGGCCAAAGGGGTGGCCAGGGAGGGAGGGAGGGAGGGGATTGACTCAGTTTAGCAAAACAACTGAAAAAAGGTGACTCCTCTTATTTAGCAGTCTCTGCTGCGTAATGATGCCCTCTCTTCACTACCACTCAACTCTTTCCCTCTTTCAGAGAGATGGATGTGGGAAAAGAAATCCCGCACCTTCCACTCACAGAGACATCACTTTGATGTTTTTGTATGTGTCAGGTGAAGAATTTAGATTTAGTTTCAGCTTTGGATCTTGTTCTTATTGCAGATTTTATCCTCCAACCTTAGCTTTTTGATCTCAATTGGGAGTTGTTTTAATCTTGCCTTTTATCTATTGTATTACATTTATCTATCTCTCTAAAGCTGTTCTAGCATGTAGATTCTGTCATTTTGCCTATGTTATACTCAGAGTAACTTGGAATCAGGGGCAGATATCCTACGAAACCAATGAATTTTAAGATTCTGGGCGCCAAATCCCAGAACATAAGTAAATGAAAAGGTAGGGATTGAGAGGGACGTATTTCTGACATATATGGATCTGTCTTGATTTATAATAATTAAAAATCATGATCAACCAAAGATAAAAGAGAACCAAAAACATCTTTTGCAACTTATATGGATGGCATCACAGAGAGCATAAAACACCCAAGCTTCAATAAAGAATTAAACCATGTGGGTGAACCAAAAGGTCTTCACTAGATGATTTAGAGAAGATAAAGAAGGCACCAGGAAAGACTCACTGAGGAGGCTGTTCCATAGCTGGGGTGCTACTGCCAATAAAGCTCTCTCTCCCTGATCGACACCCACTTCATCTCATTTCCGTATCAAATATTAAAATTATTATATTACTCAAATAAGTCCAATTTGACTGTGGGCAATGTGTTATGCCTGCAGATATCAGAAGAACTGGAGTTGTGTCTTGACATTTCCTTCAAAAGCTCAATGTATATTTTAAAAGAGCAAGCTTCAAATAACCATCTAAGCTCTTTAAATACCCATGACGCTTCCATGCATTAAGATTGGCTAAATATTCTTTTCACCATAAGTTATTTTACCAGAGATCATACTTCAATGTGGGTGCTCTTTGGAACGATCTGTAATTAATTAATTAATTAATTAATTAATTAATTAATTAATGTGAGTGTGTTAATCTGCAGGTTGTTAGACAGCAACTTTGTGGTTTCTGAAGCCCCTTGTGAGTAGGTTGTTTTTCACAAAGTGTAGCCTTGTTGAAGAAAAGTGTAGTGGAAATTTGATTAAACAAAAGAGTGCTGGAACAGAGACATAGCAGACACACCATTCTTGGAAGGGCTTTATGGTCTAGCTGCAGTTTTCAAACAAATGCCCACCAAAAGTCAGCATTTGGACAGCAGACTAAGCAGGCATTCAGGTCACCTAAATACGGTGAGAAGTATTATATTTCTATTTAAATTACAGTAATTGTTTTTAAGTTGCCTTTGGCCATTTGTTTATTTATTTCATTAAATGTATACACCACTTGATTGTAAAACCAAAAACTGCAACGTTGAGGGGTGGGAATCGATCATACTTCAAAACATACAGATTAATATTACCTTAAATTAGCACAGACCCATTGAATGATATCTGTGTCCTTGTTTTCGACAGTGCTGTGGTGGTCACCATTTGCTCTTCCTCCAATGAGTTCTGGAGGCACCTACTGGGCTATCACTCTAGAAACCCTTTGTTTCACCTAAGGGAATCTAACAGGAGCTGGTAGATGGTTTACTCCTAGGCATGTGCAGAGTGCTCACCCCTCATCATTTGGCAACCGCCCAGGGAATGCTAGTGCTCAGGGCTTTCCTTATGGAGGAGGGAGAGAAACACCAGCCGAATTCCCAGGTCCAGGTTCAGAAAAGGAGGCAAAGATGAAAAGGGGGCACAGGCTTCAGGGGGGAATCCTCCCTGGGTTGCATTTGCCTGAGCAGCCACCTTGGCCAGACTTACTCCTGGAGGGGGGTCAGCAGAGCCGGCCCAAGACATTTGGTCCCCTGAGCCGAGTCCCAAAACTGTCCCCCCCCCAGGGAAGAATGGAGATTGTTGGGGGATCAAGATGAAATGGCGAAGAAAGGCGGGAAGAGACCAGTGGCGCCTCCTCTTTGCCCCGAGGCAGATTTGGAGTGGGGTAGAAGTGGAAGTGAGGAAGATCCAGCTCCCAAGCAGAGGCGGATTTAGGGCAGCGCAGCCCCCCCCCCCGCGCTGAGCCTGGAGGGGCCAGAGGGGAGCAGAAGGATGGAGGAATGACAGGAGCAGAATGGGAGGCGAGAGGGGGCAGCCTTCCTCAGGGGCCAGACATGCTAATGCGCTTATCTCGCCTCACGGGTGGGTCCCCCCTGCGGGGTGGGGCGAGGGGGCCATTGTGTGAAGAGGGAGCGAAGAGGAGACCGAGGGGAGGGGGGAGAAGCGGGGAGACCAGGGAGAAGGAGGAAGAGGGCGGCCAAGGTGACGCCGCGGGGGAAGCCGTGGCCAAAAGCCGCGAAGGCAGGACAGGCAGGGGCGCATAGAGTAGAGGGAGTGGGGGATGGGCAGCCGTTGGGCCCAGAAAGAGGAGCGGGAAGGACACCCCTCCCCCTCCCCCCGTTGCCCCAGCAAGACGTTGGTTATAGCGCAGATGCTGAGGGAACGTAATAAGGGAAGACAATGGCGAGAGGGAAGCCCTTCAGAGTTATCTGGTAGCCGCTCCCCAGGCGCCACCACAGGGCGCGGCTATCTTCCCTCAGGCATATACAGTGGTACCTCTAGTTCACAGGCAACCCTCCTATAAAGCTGAATTGAAGGCAGTAGAACACAAACCTTGGGGGGTGGGATAAGGGCAAGAAAATGAAATCAAGTGTTCAAAATATCCCCCCACAAAGTTTTTAATAGATATAAATGCCCATGTTGCAGGCTAAGGCACATACAAGTTAAACTAAGGTGTCTTTAAAGCTTCGGAGAGCAACTTTACACACTCATGGTAGGAAAATCAATTCAACCTTATATCCCCATCTCAAACTTCTGCGTTTTAAAAAATGGAAGACTCATTAATGGAAACCAAACTTATTACCACAGAAAAGTGTTATTAAATTGATTTATACCAGGATCAACAAATATACTTTTGCATACAAAGAAAATATAGCGACTTCCCCCCACATTTATTGCCACCTACTCTAGCCTCAGATACAGAGACTTAAAAAGAAAAAGAAAGGGGCAGAAAGCCATTGGTGCATTAAAATGTGGCTCAGGAATATTCAGCCATTAGTAGACCTGACCTTTTATCTCTAGAACCACATGTACCGCAAAACTGACTTTTTTCAATGGGAAATTAAGCCCATGTTTATATGCTTGCACACAGGAAAGTGAATGTTTCAGTAAATGGAAAATTAACTCAAGACTCCAGACAAGCTAGTAAAGGAACAAACTTTATTCAAAACATTCAAGTAATACAATAAAAGGCATTAAAAGAGGGAGTTTGGAAAATATGTACAGGATAGCAAGGAAGGAGTTGGGAAGCTAATCTGGAACCTGACTTAAAGAGAAAAACTGAGAGTCCGAAACACTTCCATCAACATTCTGCATTTGTACAGGATTTGTAGCTGAATAATTCCCCGTTGCAGACCAGGGAGTATAAGTGCTTGATGCCATGAAGAAGTTATCAGATGATGGTGGAGGCTGCCTCACCATCTCCGCACCGTAATATGGAACTGGGCAGTTGCTCGCCTGGGAAGTCTCATAAAGCCCAGTTCCACAAAAGCAGCTTGCGGATAATAAGCAGGATTCAATTCCGGGGAGCTGTGCTGTTGCGGGGCACACTCTCCCGGTTGCGTGTTGTTGAGAGGTGGCTGCCACAACCCTGCTCCTCCATAGCTTTCAGCGTAATGCAAGTTGTGTGGCTGATAAAATTGTTCCATATGAATATTTTGGCTGTTTCCTGGACTGCTTTTCGGGCTGCTGTCCAGGCTGCTTCTTGGACGGGTTCTTTCACTCCGGCTATAAGGAGCTGCAGCATGGTTCCCAATCCTTATCCTGGAACCAATGCTCTTTGGTGTTCTGGCCCTTCTGTTTTGAAACCAGATCTGAACAGAAGAAAGGAGAGAACCAGTATAGAAGACATTGTTACCATAAATATGTCTTTTTGATCCAACAGAGAGAATTACATTTAATAAATTATGCTTATTCCTCTGGGGTTTCTCTTTAGTTCTCTGCAGCATTTTTCTACTCTCTTCAGCTCCACATTCAAATATCCCATGTTCATAATATCCACTTACTGTTAAATATATAGCTTCTAAGTTGGAATGACTAAATAGTGCTATTTGGCTGTATTTTTTTCTGCAGTATCAGAAAAAGCCAACTTTAAAAGCTGCACAAGTGTACATGCCAAGTGGATGGCTGCATACAAGACTTAACATCTCTGTGTGCATTTGTGTTGGAAGGCAACACTTTATGCCTGGCAATTGTTTTAAACATTCAATAAACTTAGTAATAGTAATTTTAAATGGCTCACTCAGAAGACCTACCCATTTGTTGTGCCCTGTTTGGGGTCTTCTGCCTCAGCCCCCAAGTGTCCTGGGGGTAATGGACTAGGCAGGGAAGGGTTTATATATATATTTCCAAATGCCAATTTCTCTGTAGGAGAGAACTAAGTACTTGCTCAACTTTTACCAGAAAAGCAATGCAGCTTAACTCGTTTTAGTCTCCGCAGTGGCAAGCTGCTTATGGCTGCAGTCCTCTGCACATTACTTTGGGAGTTAGTGTTAACTGGATCAGGCTGCAAAGGCAGCCTATAAAACCAGATTTAATGTACTTTTAGCACTAAGCCTATCCATTGCAGAAATTAGATTTCTATGCTGGGTCACTGAAGATGTTTAAAAAATGATTTAAACCCAGAACCCACGATACGGCCCCCCCTCCAAAAAACACACAGCCACGAAAGAGGAAGTTAGCTCTGGAACAAGGCGCCTTTCGCGATAAGCTGAGAGGTACACGGGTGAACTAAACAAAAAAAATTCCTTCCAAGAGCACCTTAAAGACCAACTAAGTTAGTTATTGGTATGAGCTTTCGTGTGCATGCACACTTCTAAGACCTTCGACTACGCAAGGATTATTCTGAGCGTTTCACATTGTTCCAGTATGTGCGGTTTAGGGAAGTCTTGGGAGCCCCCACCATCCCGATTCTTACGTGCACACGAGCTTCTTCAATTCCGATGCACCTCGCTAGCGCCTCCCTGGTCTCGTATCCGGGGTACTGGTTCTCTGCAAAGGACTTTTTTAGGAGCTCGACGTGAGATGGGCTGAAAACAGTCCTTTTTCGCCTTTCTCCTCCGACTTTCGGGTGGCTTCCTCCTGGGAAAAGACAAAGAGGCAAATCTGAAGGAAGCGCTCGGCTTCAACTGAAGCGACGCTTGCAGATCTTCCTCCCTGAATTGGTTTTGCCTTAAAAATGGACACTAATTTTAAATAAACCTCCGGTTGCTCTGAACAAGGCTTGCATGAAAAACCCCCAAATAATTTAAAGTAAGAAGTTTCCGCTCTAATTTCTATGCCTGCCATCGTTTTCCGCATCCGATCCTAACCACGTTTATTGCGAAATTTAATCCTGTTTATGTGAAAGGGATTTAACATTCAGAAAGTGTGTGTGTAAATGCTTCATGCAGTAAAATGCAGTAAATGCTTCATGCTTATAAGTAAAGATGTGCAAACCAATCTTGCGAACTGTTTCCAACCGAAGACATTTGAGCCCCTGTGTAATCCCTCCCCGGCTACCACAAATGGGTCTTTGAAAGCCTTCCCTACACCCTGACCCAGAAACAAAAACACCCTTCATTTATAAAAACCGTCGTTTATGAAACCCTTAATTTATATCAATCATTTGGAGCAATTTTTTTAAAGACAAGTGAACTAAAAATCTTCTTAGCAATCCTCTCTTCTTACCTTGGCTGTTGGTAGTTTTCATCTTGCAAAGCGCTGCTCGCTCTCTTCCAACAAAGCTGGTTTTCGCTTGCAAAGTGTCCTTGCTCTTCAAGGCGCGCTCCAGGTTTCTGGAGTTCGGCGCCTTTATAGCCCCTCCTGGCTGCCAATTGGCCGGCGCGTTTTCCTTGGAGAGAAGCGCTCCAATGGGGAGGCGGAGTTTCAAGTTCATTTTTCAAGCGCTGCTTGACCAATCTAGATGGGCTGGAGCGCACCCTTCCCTTAGCATCACCCCTTAGCAAAACTGGAAAATAGCCCCATAGACTGGGAGAATTAGTGCGCACAGTTGAAGAGAAGGGAATTGAGAAGACGGGTTGGGGAGCGAGAGAGCCAGACAGAACTGTGGTTTATTTTTAAAAAATATTATTATGAAGCTGTCATTTTACATACAGAGATGCGCCAAGACTTAGGCATGTTGAAAGGCTTTGCCCAAGAAGCCTAGATGCAGCAAGGACACTCTGAAACCCCCTGCCTTTTGAGATGAAGCAGGCGCCTTCACTGCACCCTTTTCGGCGCCTGCTATAAACTTTGTTTCCTTTACTTTACCTGCAAAAAGTTGCTATGCCTTTTAATCGGTGGTTTTAGCTTAACTGTAATTGCATTTTGCATGTTTTTCACTTTGACTTGTATCGATCATGTTCATGCTTTCGTAAGCGGCTTAGAGGTTTTCGTTAAGGTTAGGCGCTGCAAAAACTTGAAGGGAAGAATGTGAGTAACACCATTGCAAATAAAGGGAAGGCAAACTGCTCTTGCCATGAAGTAGTGGTCTTTCAAGCCCAAGCGGTTGATGTTAGATGCTCAGAGTATTCAGTCCCGGACAGCCGTCGCAACCAAATCCTGAATCTAAACAGTCTCAAGGCGCTTGTAACTGTAAGGGGTTGCATTCTCTTTCTTTCTTCTTCTTTTATTAAAGATTTTCTTGTTTTACAGAAGTATGTGTAATGTCTCTCGTATTTTTTACATGTAACATTTTTACAAATCCGTTTCATTTGTTGAGACATTAGGGGGAGAAAAAAAGGGGAGGGGGTGGGGATATGGGTGGGGGTGGATGGCGATGTTTCTATTATGCTTAATTTATGTAGGGTTTGGTGTCTGCGTTGCTTGTGCTGTTCACTTGTGTTCCTAACGGAGTTACATTCTGAGTGAAAGCGAGCTTTCCGTTTCCTAGGCTTGCTTCAGGCGGCGTATCAGCGTATTGGCCTGAGACCAGGCAGGGTTCAAATCCCTGCAC